ACACTCTTTTTAATGCACCCCAGAATGCCATTGGCCGTCTCATCCAGCTCACTCCCACCACTGGAAGCAGAAGGGGCGGAAGCACCTGCAAAACACATCTCAGGCACTTCAGCAGCAGCACCGTGCTGATCCCAAAGAAGCATCCAATCAGCAGCCCTACACAAGCCCCAACAATAGAAAGCTTACCTAGTGACTCCCAAACACTCACCGCTTTCACCATCTCACCGGGTCGGGATGACGGGAGGCTCTGCTGCAACCTTCGCTCAGCCTGCAATAGGAGAAAACTTGTTTCAGCAGCCCCTTGCGTTGCTTCTCATTCCCAGCAGCACAGAGGCTGGAGGAGGATGGTAGGAACGGCCCATCCCGCTCGCTCCTACCGATGCGACCGGGAGAAAGTAAAGACCCGGAGGGACTGAGAGCCCTCAGGACCACGTTAGCGCTCTGGAAACCGAGCGGCAGTCCCCTCCGAAAACGCAACGACAGCCGGGCAGCGACGTTACACCGGCTCCGAGAAGCCGAGGCAGCCCGCTGGGAGCCCCGCGCCGGCCCCGAACGGAGCCCGGCGGCCTCCTGCCGCGGAGGGCGGACGGACCCGAGCGCTGGCCGCCTCCGCGGTCCCGTCGACACCAGAACGACTCACCGGTTCGGGCTGATCTTCCTCGGGAGACGTCTCGCCGCAACCTGAAACAAAACAACACAACACGCAGAGAACGTTACAAAGAATCCCAAGGTCTCTTACAAAGAATCCCAAGGTCTCGTTTTAAGAGCAGCCCCGGCGGCGCAAGGACCGGACAAAGAAGCGGAGCCCGCTCCGGCTCCGCAGGCAATGAGCTCCGGCAGCTCTGCCGTGACTCCCAGCGGCCTCCGGCGAAGCTTAAGAGGCTTTGGGCCGGACCCGCCCCGCGCTGCGGACGAGGCGCAGCTGTGCCCGGGCGGCCGCGCCCCTCGGCAGCTGGGAGTCGTTGCCTCGTTAGCGCCGGTGGGGCTCGTTAGGGCCGGCCGGGAATCTGACAGTTGGACACGTGGGCTCTAGATCTGAATTATGGACTTAAACTGCACTTTCAATTAAAGTTTGTTACGCGCTTCTCCTCGCCTCATTGCGGGATTCACTAATAAGTTAAATAATTGTGCCTAATTCAAACGGATCGCTTTGCATCTCACACGACACCCTTTTGAAGAACGTCTCCAGCCTTAACAGTTTCCAGAGGCCCCTGCTGTGTGCCGTCTCTGCTCTGCTTTCCCTCTCCCCTCGTCCAAAAAAAGAAAAGGAAAAAAAAAAAAAAAGGAAAAAAAAAGTTTGTTAAACCTGTAAAACCTTTGTACCTGATGGAGAACACGTGACTGAAGGTGGCAGTGGAAATGTGGGAGTGGCGATGTGACAAACACCCAAATGGGTGAATGATGCACGCGAGAAAATTGCCGACCAGTGAAATTGGAAGCGGAGCTTCACAAATGGTTCTGTACAGTACAACTCCTCGGCTTATAAAGCAATTATTTACACACGTCCCTTGCTTTGAGAACCTGCTGTCTGTGGATGGGCACTCAAAGGAAAGAGGTCCCAGGTATCGAATCTGACCGAGAGGCCCGAAGAAGTTGCCGGTGGGTTCCTCTCAAACCTTTGTGCCTACAAATCACCGGGGATCTAAAGCTGCTGAAAGCTGTGGGGCATAAAACGGAACAGGCAAGCTATTGAGAAAGTACAGAAGGGGCCTGTGGGCCTTCATGTGCTAATGGGACGAAAAAGGCCAGAGATGTGATCTTAGGGCATCCTCCTTCAGCTTGTGCAGATAGCCCCATACTGAGGAGAACCAGGGAGGTCTGGGATGGGTTCCCACTGGATGATGAGACAGCTACTTTATCCCAAACCGGATCTATGAACCAATCCTCACTTTTTGCATTCGGCAGACAGCTGCATTTAACAGGTGAGTGAGGTGAAGCCTGCAAACACACTTTGTGAACCATTCCCAGAGAAAGAAACACAAGATCACTTGCAAATGTTATGTGCCGATATTTACCTGGACAAACTCCAGCTTTTCTGCACCCCTCCAGTAGTTTGCTTTTATTTGTAGTTCAACTACCCAGGCGAAAACAGACAGCTGAAGGGAACGCTGACTCTGCTTGAGAGAGCATGAGGCTCGTGCTTGAGAGATCTTTCTGGGTAGGCTGGTGGCTTTTATCCTTTGTCTGAGAACCTAAGTCACCACAAGCAACCTTCCTCCACAACAACATGAGTTAATCAGCTGCAGTGCAGGCCGGTTTATCTGTGGCTGCCTTCCGTCTGTCTCATCCCTCTTTCAGGGTCAGTCTGTCCTACCAGGGGACAAGCCTCAGCAAAGTTTGCCTTGTTACACCTGGGGCTCCCTCTTCATCTGATGCATTCTGATGAGTCCTGTGGGAGAACAAAATGTCAGAGTTTCTGGCTTTAGCTTATAAAGCAACTTTCCTGATGAACTTTATTGTACCTAAACTCGACACACTGAAGTTTAGCGTACTGACTGAGAAGACACAGACGCAGCGCTAAGAGAAATAACTGCTCGTAGGATCTAGCGTGTGGATGGGGCTGCTGTGGTGGGAGTCAGGAGAGGAAGGAGCAGACAGATCTCTTCATAATGAGAAGAACAACACAGCCTCTGCCATGAAGATCGGAGCTGCAGCTTCCCAGTCATTAACAGGGAGACCTTCCCCATGGCCCAGGAGCTGCAGCCCACTGCCACCGTGACCCCAGAGCAGCGGAGCCTAGACAGCACTGTGGGCTGACAGCTGTCAGTGCCTCTCAAAATGCTTCAAAGAACACCCAAAGGGGGCTTTGAGCCAGAGCCTTTCCCGAGCGACTGCCAGACTTTCGAGCAGATTCTTCAGCCAACAGTCTGGTAGCATGGCTCTTGTTGCAGAGGCTTTTTCTTAGGAAGGGAAAGTACTGGATGAAATTCTAGCACGTTTCAGACTCTTCACTGCTTGTCAGTTACTTCGGATAGAGAATGAAAACCTTAACCCAAGTGTTAGAAGCCTTCAATGGATCAGTGCCCAGCTTTGTCAATGAACAGGTTATTCCTGTGTCACCTCTATTTTGGTTTGTATAATTGGTGTGGCAGACCTTTGAAGCTTGGACTGATTTTGTGGAGAAGAGAATGCTATTTCTGAGCTGCAGTGCTTTCACGACATTTTGCAAGATGAGATATTTTACTTGTGGCGAGAAGATATTGTGCTTTTGAGAAAAAATACCAGCCGATTGGTTTCTTATGTTCCACATCTATGATTGGTGATCTCCCACCACAGGAGAAGAGAACTCTACTGCTATGCCAATCTCTACTCTAGGTGGTGCTTGGATATAATCACGGGAACTTCAGAGTATCTTATGTGAAGCGGTGTAAGCATTCTGAATTGCATAATAACGACTTCTTGACATTTTCATGAGAATCTTCATTTTTTACTCAAAAAGGCAACAACTCATCGAATTTCAAACAAAAACCCCAGTAGGTGTGAAAAAAACACACATATATTTTGAAGGCGTAATTGCTGGGTGTTTGAAGTGGGTGTCTGGCTAGTAAAGACTGCTAGAAGTAGAGATAAAAGCTGTTTTTGGTGATGAAGCCTGTGAACCAAGCTACATTTTCGCTAGCTTTTCTAGGAGGACCTTAACATCTTTAAGAAATATGGTCTGAGATTCAAAGTGAACCCCAGGAAGAACTGTCTGGTAGCATGCGTTATAAACCCTCAGGCAAATGGTAATGGTGGGACATCCTTACAGGGAAAGTGTTTTTTTTTTGTGGGCGCTCAGTCAAGTTAGAGAGCTCTCTCAGTTTCTTGTAGCCTCGGAATAGTTCTTTATTGTATTCAACATACATCTTATGCACCACTCACTTACAAACAAGAAGTTCGCGTTCCTCTAATAGTTCCTCTAATCAGTTAATTGGCCCTAGTTTCTCCCAAACAACAGCGATAAAGGATGAAAGGTTTCTCCAGTGTGACAAGATTAACAACGCACACAAAAGAACCTTCTGTTTACCATTAGACTGTTTGCTCTCTGTCTTACACTACGGTCTCCCAAGGCTTTACAGTGATAAGGTCTATTAAAGGGTCTGATAAGCTCTTTGGTGACTCACTCACAGTCACATCTTCCCCCACAGTTTTGACATCCTTTTCATAGAATAGAATAGAGAGAAAAAGGTTGGCGCAACCTTATCTAAGTCTGAATATCTTTCCTGATCCATTGATCACATTTACTTTGTGCTCAGGCTAGGCTGGGTGGTCTCCAAATCTCCACATCAAAGCAGACACTGTGTTGAATCAGGCTATGAGTAGTACATCTAGAGTTTTCCAGAAAGTAAGTATGGTTCTCCCCATTTCATCAGTTGATCGAGCCTTGATGTTATTTGGGGCGGAAA